CTTCCTTTGCAGTCTATATGCCTTTAATTTCTTTTTCTTACCTTATTGCGCTGGTTAGAATTTCCGGTATAGTGTTGAATAGAAACGGGGAGAGTAGACATCCTTCCTTGTTCCCAATCTTAGAGGGAGAGCATCTAGTGTTTCACTGTTAAGTGTGATGTTAGCTGTTCTTGTGATATTATGACATGCCCCTATCAAATTTTGAACGTTTCCCTGCTTTTTGGCAGCAGGAGATATTTCAGGCTCATCTGATGCTTCCCCTGCCCCAGCTGTTTTTCAAGGAGCTCTGGTTCCTTGGTTCCTTTTGTTGACAAATGGTATTTAGAAACCAGGGTCTGGGCACGGGGTGAGTAACAATCACTTTTTAACTCTCTTCATCCAATGTTTTCGGAAATCCAAACCGTCTAGTTATAAAAGCAATAAGACCCAGAAGCAAGGATCTTCTGCTGTGTCCCAATCACTTTTCAGATGCTTTTTAGTGCCAAATCACACCTGCAGCTGAAGAATCTTGTCACTGGTAAATATAATAAATTTCACAAAAGTCCTCAAATGACAAGACAATTATGGCTTTTTATAAAAGAGCGTAACTTGTGCTAGCTGAATAACTGTTGCTTGCCCCCTGTGTTTTCCCCCCCATTGCAGCTTGAGAACAAGGCTGAGGGGAGAAGCTTGGATCGTTTGGTGCCAGTAATAATGTCGTGATAATTGCCATCCCTTGAATGTTAGTGTGGGCCACGAACTGCGCTTTATGTGACTATTCTGATTGGATCTCCCCACCGCCCAGTGAGGGTTATGCTACTTCCTCTCTCATCTTTTGCCAAACATTCCAACTGTGTGGTTTCAGCATTCAGTGTGATTCACTGTTCATCAGAGCTTTGCTTGGCCTGAGTCAGCACAGGGTGGTAGCTGCTGGCGCAGCATGGCTGTGAGGAGCAGTAGTGCCTTGGAGACTCGGGAAACTTCGCACGAGTAATATGTGGTCGTTTGCTCTTGAAAGATCAAAAAAATCTTGATCTAAATACAGATGCCCATGAAGTAAACCGGAAAAGTGTCCCACTCCCCTCCCTGCCCAATCCTTCATCCCACCCCTCTCCCCAAGATAACCACCATAATAGTTTAGTGTATATTCTTCCAGACCTTTGTTTTTAGGTAAACGTATTCCAACATCCTGAGAGCTGTTTCAGAGGGACTTTTCTTCCCCAGAACTCTCTCCTCGGCTGCTTTGCCCTCAGCTAACCTTTCTCTTCAGCTGGGCATTTTCCTCTTTGGGCCTTGATTGAGGAACTTAGCCAGAAGGAGACTTGTTTGCTTCTAAACTTGAACTCTGCAGGCTATATCTTAGTGTTTGTGCCCCCTGTTGGCCCCTTAAGCCCTCCTGTTGTCCAGGGTTAATGTGTAGGAGCAAGAAAGGTATAAGATTTGTAGCTCTGTAAAACATGTTAGATTATTCAAAATATTATTGAATTTTTGTTTATTGGCTCCTAAAATTCCTCGCAAGCTGTTGATTGGAGGGTCGACTGATGGTGGATCCTTTGGACTTAGTCAGAGAGAGTAAGTATGAATGCCTTTGCTTACCTTTAAGGAATGGATATATGTGGCTAAAAAATGTATATAAATTGAATGAAAATAATGGAACTTGTGAATCATTTTAATTTACATTATCACCGTTACTGTAAGTTTAGATTTGCTTAAGTCGAGTGTTTTTGAAACAAAGCTTCCATTAGTGGCCTGTGCAAGACCTTCTACATTGATTAATACCTTTTCTACTTGTTCTTTTTCCTTTGATGTCTCATCCTAAAATATTTCCTGGGAGATGGGCAGCCTGTCTCTTGGATTCTAAAGGCACACACAGACACACCAAGTGTGTAACATCACAGTGCACTTAGAAATTTGAGGGAGGCTGGGAGAAGGGTCTCCCAGCATAGCATCAGGACCCCAGAGCACCCTGCAGGGGACAGGTTTGATGACATCACAGAAAAGCTGCCTTTAGAGTGTATGCTGTCTGTGGGATCTGGGTGCCAGACGTTATTTGCCCATCTAGACTTTGACTTTATGGCAGAAACCACCATGTTCATTGTGTTAGATTTTGAAACTATTTCCTCACTTCCTCTGCTTCTTATATTTTGGACCTTATAAAGCTTTTTAAAGTTTGTCACTCCTCATTCGTACAGGGCAATGGGGTCATTCCCTGGCACTTGAGTGGCACTGCTATTGAGGGCAGCATACAGCAAAAGGTGACCTGTGGCAGCTGTCGGGCTAGGATCCAGGCTGCCTGAATGTTCTTGCTAGGTCTCTGCTACCCCATCCGTGGAGGTTTGATTTCATCAGGAATCTCTGTCAGGAGAAAGAAGCGAGTTGCCTTAGCAACTATCATTTCCTTTTCTAAACCAGACACTACTCTGAACCAGAAACAGTGAGAGCAGGCTTGAGTGTCTGTATGTGATGCTGTTCTGAGTGATACTGTTGACTTCATGTTCTTGGAGCTACTCTCTCCAGAGTACCTGACGTGACAGCCTTGTCTTTGCTTGGCACTTCCTGACACAACCATGGTAGCCAACCCTGGATGTCTCTTACTAGCTGTGAAGCTATTTCCCAGAAAGAGAGTTACAGAAACGTCTTCCCACCTGCTTGGCCCCTCCAGATACGCTTTTCTAGGAGGACAGGTGGCCCTTTTCCAGACTTCCATCCTACACATCCTGGAGACCATGGAAGGAAACAAGAAGTAGGAAATGGCCATTGCAGAGACGTATCCTGTTAGTCAGAGAGAAGAGAATCCACTCTCCTCTGGTGCTTGCCCGGCTGGCCCGCTTCACAGTCTGCATGGGAGCAGGCCACCCACAGCTTCTGAAGAGGGCGGGAGCGTATCCTTTACCTCCCTCTTCCTCATTTGGATTAGAAGTCAAGCCAGCTAGATGCCAGGCCACTGGCATTCCGTGTTCCTGGCACTGAGGATTCGTATGGTGCTAAGGAGAGAGCAGACATTGAACAATGTGTGCAGAAGGAAGGGTTCTCTTCACCAGCCTTGAGGTGGTGTGCAGTGGGCACCCATGGCCACGAGGGAAAGTGGGATTGGCCACGGTGCTGATGAGAAGGCAGTGCCATGCTCTTGGACGCTTCACCCATGAAGGGCTCAGCATCAACAGTGGAAGAGTGTTTCCACCTGGCTTTTGTCTTGTACCTGAAGCTTAGGGATAATCGAGGGCACACGTGTGTGTGGTCTCGTAAAGTCATGGGTAGGATTTGACTCTTCCCTTGTGTATGCTTCTCTGCCATAAGTGCACAGAGTATTATTGTCCCCTGCACAGAATTTCCGTCGTTTGGACTCAGTGGAGGTCCATTTTCTGTCACTTAGTTTGAGGTTACTGGCATCAAAACCTTTTGAATATTGGCAGCGATGAGTTGTGGTCTTTTGTATTCTCTTTGAGGAAGAATCCACGTAGGTCAGCCCTTGCAGGAAAAGGTGGTGATATCATGCAGCTCCTGCAGGCTTTTTGTTGGTAGATGACACCAGCAGTTCCTGTAGCTGTAGACAGGACTCATGGATCTTCGTCGGTCGTTATTCTCTTACCAAATACAAGGTCCTCTCCCCATTGAAGTTTGTGTTTTAAGTGTAACTTGAGCAAAAAAATTCTCTGCTACTTCCTTCCTTCTAGCCACTCTGAAAACACTTGATGAGGATGCCCGGATTCCATTCAGAATTATCCCAGATGAATTACTTCTTCTAGAAGGGTCTTGTTTTTTCCACCCTGGATGCTTCATGAACACAGACACACCTTTCCCTGCAATTGTGAAAACTGGAGAACATTTTGTGGATTTGATTTAGAAAGTAAGTGACCATGCTGAACAGAGTGTTGGGGACCCAGACCCAGGCTGGCTCGGAGGTCTTGCATTAGAGGAAGCATTGAATGAGGAGACGCGAGACAGGCTCTCCCTCTCTGTGATCAGCCCACTGAAGCCTGGGATTTGGAGTAAAGAAAGCTTCTCTGCTCTTCCCTTTCTTGCCTCTATGTTCTGCTCCCTGAACTCGTCTGTCCCACTGTGGCTGCTGGAAATAAAGTCACTTTAAAAATAATGTTGGTGTCTGGTTCCATTTTGTTTCTTCTTTTTCCCACCAACACGTGGGGTGGAATTTGTGTGTAGTTGGCAAGACTCTTGAAGAGATGAAATTACTGTCCCAGCTCCAGAATGAACTCCAGAGGCCAGCAGGGGAATTCTCTGTTCGTATCTGAACTTGTCACACTTACCCGTGGAAAGCAGACCACACCAGGGGCAGATGCGAGTTGGTAAGGGAGCAGTAGCTGTAAAATACGTTTCTCAAATGCTCTTTGACCTTTCAGAATTGGTTGATGAGAAGGAAGACATTGACTGCATTCTCTGCCACCCCTAGACTTGCTTTATTCCTAGCCACACAGGTGTTAGGTGAGGGAAGGAAGCCCCTCATGTAAAGTCGTGGATGGTGAAACAGAAAGATGTATTTTTCTTTGGAGAGAGAGGAAAGAACTTTCTGAATAAGAGAGTGGCAACACGTGAGCAGACTCATAGTGGTGAAGCCTTAAAGTCTGAGTCCTTGATGAAGCCAGCTTTGATCCCATGAGGGCAGCTGAAAGACCACTGAAAACACCCTAGGAATTTTAATTTTATTTATTTATTTTTTTCCCCCCAAAGTCCCAGTAGATAGTTGTATGTCATAGCATGTCATAGCTGCACATCCTTCTAGTTGCTGTATGTGGGACGCGGCCTCAGCATGGCCGGAGAAGCGGTGCATCGGTGCGCGCCCGGGATCTGAACCCCGGCCGCCAGCAGCGGAGCGCGTACACTTAACCACTAAGCCACGGGGCCGGCCCTACCCTAGGAATTGAGTACTGGGCCCCAAATGATAACCCAGACTGGTGGCCCAACAAATACCAAAGTGGGACTCTATTGCTTACCTAAGGACCACTGTACTGTTGTATCTGTCCTCCTGGGCCTGTAACGTTCCCACCTGTTTCTCTTTCCTTCAGGCTGACGGTCTTCAAGGATGCAGCTGCTGCTACTGGAGGTGCGTGGCACCTTACCTGAGCTGGGCCATGAGGCCGTGTGGCTGTGATGTGGGCCCCTCATGGCCTCAGCAGGAACAGAGCACTACAGTATTGGCCTCCGCCAGGGGAACAACTTCAAGCAGAGTGGGCCCTCAGGCCCAGTGCCTGCCCCGCCACCTGAGAAACCCTCTGAGGGCAAAGTCTGGGCTCAGGCCCATCAGCAGGTGAAGCCAATCTGGAAGCTGGAGAAGAAGCACGTGGGTACGCTCTCAGCGGGGTTGGGCCCAGGCCTCTTGGGTGTCCCACCTCAGCCGGCATCTTTCTTTTGCCCCAGTACTTTATGTAGCTCTGGGACCACGGCTGTCCTTGCAGGCCAGAGCAGCCCCTGTTACCTGCACTCTCTCCCGGACTTGTTCAGCAGTACCCTGCTGTACCGCCGCTCCAACTATAGGCACAAACCGTACCAGCAGCTGGAGTCTTTCTGCGTGCGTTCAAGCACGTCAGAAAAAAGACCTTTTTCTCTCCCTCAAAAGAGCCTCCCTGTCAGCATCACTGCCAGTAAGGCCACTTCTTCCACAGTCTCCCCCATGGCCCAGCCCATGGCCTCCTCATCCACAGATCCGTACCTCTCACTGGGAGCAGCTGGGGAAAACCCTTCAAGGAAGAGCCTGGCCTCTGCCATCTCAGGGAAGATCCCATCTCCACTCCCCTCCTCTTCCTCCTCCTACAAGCCCATGCTAAATAACAACTCCTTCATGCGGCCAAATAGCACTAAAGTGCCTTTATTGCAGGCCACAGAGGGCCTGAGGACAGTATCCTCACCCAAGATCCACCTGGTCTCCTGGCATCATTCAGGGGGCACTGGAGACTGCGTACCCCAGCCTGTTGGACACAAGATACCCAAGAGGAATGGCACTGTCCTAGATGATGCCCCTGCCCGTAGCACCCTGTCTACCCCTAGCTCCTTAGACACTTCCGCCACCAGTGTTGCCTCTCCCCAGCACAACCAGAGTGACTTAACCATGAGGGCAGAGCCGCATCCCTGTGGGCTGGATGGCGACTCTGTTTCCCAGGCTCTGACTAAGGAGGTTCGGTTCACTGAGGCCGTGAGGAAGTTGACTGAAAGAGGCTTTGAGAAGAAGCCGAGGCAAGGCTACCAGTTTGAACAGTCTTGTTGCGTGAACCCCAGCTTGCAATGGGATCTCCTTAATAGGAACAGGCAGTGGAAACCTCCTGTGGCAGGCCAGCAGTTCCCACAGGAGGATGTTGGAGCAGACAGTAGGATCCTCCCTGGAGCCTCGGACACCTTGGAGTTGGACAGTACAGTCTTCTGTACCAAACGCATCAGCATTCACCTCCTTGCCTCACATGCCAATGGGCTCAGCCGCAGCCCTGCCTGTGGATCTGCGATCGACTCCCCACCACGTGGAGAAGACAAAACTCCAGTTCTGCCTTCTCCCCCTCAGCCCCTCGGTGTAGCTGATGTGGCCACCCGCCTCTCTTCCCTCCATCTGGGCCAGCTTGGGAAGGAGGGGCCTAAAGAAGCCGGGGAGCTGGACTCACCTGCTAGGGATGTTGGGTAAGTTGGAAAACGTTTTGGGTTCATTTAGAGCAGTGGAATGTATACACTATAGTTTGGTAACACTGATCCTATGTTTCTAAAGGTTGGTTTTAATTTTTAGCTGCGCTAGAATTTTGGTTTTACTTTAGGGCAGAGGTCGGCAAATCCTGCCTGCTGCCTGCTATTGTAAATAAAATTTTATTGAAACGCAGCCTTCCCCATTCATTTACTACTGTCTGTGGCTGCTTGCTTATTGTAATGGTAGAGTTGAGTCTTTGCAACAGACTAAATGGCCCACAAAACTGAAAATATTTACTATCTGGTCTTTTAGATGAAAAGTTTGCCTACCCCTGCTTTAGCTTGCAACAAGAATTCCAAACACCACTTCTTGGGACCTGTGACTTTTCTACTTAATTCCAAACCAAATCAGGTTCTCAGTAATTCCTGGTATGACGGCCATTTCAGAGTTAGGCTCCTTCTCTTGTGTCTTGTTACTTCGCTAGAACCTTGGTCCACCAAGGCCTTGTTCTGAGTTCCCAGAGAGAGGTCTAGGGACCTTCATAGTCATTTACCAGACATTCACTTATAGTGTTTTGTCTGCAGAGTTTTGTACTTATATGCTATGAGGGACTTCGAAGAAGGTGGAAGACATAGTCCTCTCTGCAGAATAGGGGATGTAGGATTGAGGAACTATGGCTAGACCTAGGCTCTGAGGGCAAGAGAAATGAAGTTGTGAGATCCAGATGAGAGACAGCAGACTGGTGACTGGGGAAGAGGCGAACACTGGAGATGATGGGGTGAGAATGTGTGACTTCTCTCACGGAGTTGGCTGGGCTGGGGCATGATTCTTTCTTGTAGTTCAGCTACTGATGTCCAGCTAGACCAGGTTGAGGCTGAAGATCTAGAAGAAGAGCTAGTGGATGGTTTGGAAGACTGCTGCAGCCATGATGAGGATGAAGAGGAGGAGGGTGAGTAGGGGACCCTCTCACCTCCAGCAGGGAATTGGTCCCCACCTGCTATGGAAGGGGGCTAACAGGTCCTTGACTCAATTTATCACCTACATTAATCATTCGCCTTGGAGGGTGTAAGGGCAGGACTGGCTTTTGGGGGACTTTGTTCTCTAGTCCTCCTGTCCCATCAGTCTTGTCTTCTCCCTTCTGCTGTCGAGCTCAAGGAAGGCAGTGCAAGGCAGCAGGGTGGTGCTCGTGGCTCTGCAAGAAGGCTGAGCCATGATGTCCAAGGAATTGCTGCCGAGGCTTGGTGAGTTTCCCAGTCGGAACTTCTCTGCTCTTCCTCCGCAGGAGACTCAGAGTGCTCTTCACTCAGTGCTGTCTCCCCCAGCGAGTCGGTGGCTGTGATCTCGCGGTGAGTGTTGGCTATGTAGATCGTTGGTAGATGCTCATGTTCTCTCTCCTTATGATGATTAAGAGCTTAATCACCTAAGTCATTAATGACCCTGTTAATCCTAACTCATTTTTACCAAATTTTTACATTTGGGACTTCGGTTTTCAAGCAGGAAGCAATGGAAGGGAGCTGAAGCATATTTCATCAGTTGGGCTTAAAAACAGTACCATGTTTCTTAGGCTGCAGTTTGGTCTCTAGGCTCCAAAGAAATTGTTCAAGTAAAAAGCAAATAATTTCAAGAAATGTTTAGAAAATTACTATCCAATTAATGAAGAAACATGATTGAGATAAATTCTTAGGCTACCCACATGAGGGTAATTGCCATCTTGCATTATAAATATGTCCCACTGTCCGAAACATTTCTGAGATAGATATACCACTAATTGGGGCTTTTTGTTTCATTTCCCGCCCCTCTCCCAAAGCCCCAGTAGATAGTTGTATGTCATAGCTGCACATCCTTCTAGTTGCTGTATGTGGGATGCGGCTTCAGCATGGCCAGAGAAGTGGTGCGTCGGTGCGCACCCGGGATCCAAACCCGGGCCGCCAGCAGCAGAGCGCGCACACTTAACCGCTAAGCCATTGGGCCGGCCCTAATTGGGGCTTTTTGAAATGCTCTTTCTTCCGAGGCTAGTTTTATATTGGGAAATAAGACTGACATTAACCTTAGTAACAAGAAATTGAATTAAAAGTTCTCTAGCTTTATGGGGCTGGCCCAATGGCACAGTGGTTAAGTTTGCACACTCAGCTTTGGCAGCCCGGGGTTCGCGGGTTCGGATCCCGGGCGTGGACCTACACACCACTCATCAAACTATGCTGTGGCGCATCCCACATACAAAAAATAGAAGAAGATTGGCTCAGATGTTAGCTCATGGCCAATCTTCCTCAAGCAAAAAGAGGAAGATTGGCAACAGATGTTAGCTCAGGGCAAATCTGTCTCACACACACACAAAAAAATTCTCTACCTTTAATCTAGATTATTTTATGGATTGCCCTTAGTGGAGTCTGAGTGATATCCGTCTCTAACTAGGGGACCAAAAGTCAGTCTCTCAATGTAGGCCCTTCTTCTGTGAAACAGGGAGTTGTGGGATGCTGCATAAATGAGATGGCAGTCGGGGGAGGGGTGGGGATGCAGGAGTCTGAGAAAGTTACTCATACGAGGACATTACTGTAAATGAGGACATGTTATTGTGCTCAAGGTTTTTAGAACTTGCTAAAGGATCATATACACCACCTTTCTGGGTAGACAGTTAGTGTTCTTCAACGTAATCTTTCTTGTTCCCCTCCCACTTCCTGCCTTGCCCGATATGAGGCTCTCATCATTAATTACGTTGTTTTATTAAATATTGAAAAGAACCCCTCCGAAGTACTAAACATTAAAGTTTTTTTTTTTTTTTAATAATTTCTACTGAAAATGTAAAAGAAACAAAATACGAGTATAGAAAATTGGTGAGTTTTGTTTTGTTTTTAGTGCAAAATTTCTAACCTAATTTTAATTAAAATCTGGCTGTATGTGTCAAGGCTTGCCTAACGTATGGAGCACCCAGACTCAGGTTGCTTTTCTTTGTGTCAGCTGTGCCTTAAACGAAGCTAAGAGGAAGAGGAGCTTTCCATGCCTTGGTTAGTATGGACAAGGCAAGCTGCATCTCTGTGAATATGACGTGGCAGCGGCTGTATCAGTTTTAGAGTTCCAAACCAACAAGGTGGAGAGAGCTGTTTGGAAAGTGGAGAGACAGAATTGGGGTTTTCTGTGAAGGTGGATAGAAATCCTGTCATAGGTACCCTGAGTCTGGTGCATAAATTCTGTTACTTTAAGCCTAACCTATCCTCCTTTCAGAAAAGCAAAGCTCCTTCTGGTTGTTTATGTTGGATGTTGACTAACGGATGAGACCTCCACTCTCCATAAGAGAAAGATATTTAACATGTAATTGACTTGGAGTCCCACCTTTTCCACACTTAAGGGTCATCTGGGTTTGTCTTCAGGCCTGCTTCAGGACAGCTGCACAGTCTGTTATTTAACCTTTCTGATTTATAAGAGAAAATTCACAAAATGTTTGTTGTAATTTGCTCATTAGTTAATTTAACTCCTATAAAATGTACAGTCTTTCTTATCTATATGAAGCTTAAAACATGGCTTTTCAAGCAAATGAAGATTGGTGAATTGTAAACGACCTTGCATTTTAAGGATGACTAAAATCAGAAATACTTTTGGGTTGCTAAAGTCTTGTCTTTTCTCAGTTATGAAAGCTTTATATATTTATTAAAGAGAATTTGGCAATTACAGGAAGGTCTGTTTCTCTACCCAGCAATAATTTATTGCATTTCTTGTTTCACAATCTATTTCTAAGAATCATGTAAATTTTTTTTTAAATTTTATTTATTTTTTCCCCCAAAGCCCCAGCAGATAGTTGTATGTCACAGTTGCACATCCTTCTAGTTGCTGTATGTGGGACGCCGTCTCAGCATGGCCAGAGAAGCGGTGCGTCGGTGTGCGCCTGGGATCCGAACCCGGGCCGCCAGCAGCGGAGCACGTGCACTTAACCGCTAAGCCACGGGGCTGGCCCTCACACTATTTTCTTTCTGTTGCTTTTTTCCCTTTTTCTTTTTAAAAATCTCTATACCTCTTCTTAGGTCTTTTCTGCTCTTCCTCTTTTTTAATTATCCATATCATTTTTTTTCTCTCCTCATTTATTTCTCTTTGTCTTGGTGTAACATATTCTTCTACTAGTATCCACCCAAATGCGTTACCTGCTCTCAGAACCACTGTTTTCAGGGACTTCCCCAGCCTGTGGCTTGTCACCAGAGATCTTGGAGCTGTGGCACAGAATGAAGTGTTGGAAAACTTGTCTTTGTAGAATCACAATTTGAAAGATAGCATCCTGAAAGAAATGATATGTAATAGTAACAGCGCTTCAGCACGTACGGTTTTCCTTTTCCCTACCACATGTGTGTTTTTTATCTTAGGGACTGCATGGAGATTCTGACCAAACCCTTCTCCAATGAGAAAGTTGTCCGACCAGCCCTCATCTACAGTCTCTTTCCCAATGTGCCTCCTACCATCTATTTTGGTACTCGGGATGAGAGAGGTAAACCTGGCCAAGTGTCTAAGCCCAGAAGAGCCCCCAGAAGAAGGATGCTGGCGAAGCTGGGAGGAGGTGGCAGTGGGAGGAAGGGACTTTCTGGAATGACTGTTAGGATGCTCGGTTCCCCACCTGGTTCACGGGTCCGGTATGGGGGCCTTCTTCTTGTCCATCCTTTAGCTGACCCTTCTCAGCATCATAATCTCATGCTTGGTTCTTGCCCTCTAACCTTGTCTCTCTCCCCTTTCAACCTCCCCTGCTCTCTGTTCCCCATTCCTGTGCAGCCCCTTTCTTCCCCAAAGTGTGCTCCTGCGACACTAATCTGCAGTGATGCGTAGTGACTTGCCTCCCCAGGGAAGGTTGAGCAGCAGTGCTGTCCTTTTCCTCTTCTCACCATGACTCTGCTCTTCTCCACCCTCCCCACACCCCTTTCCCTAGTGGAGAAACTTCCCTGGGAGCAGAGGAAGCTGCTGCGGTGGAAGATGAGCACAGTGACCCCCAACATTGTCAAGCAGACCATTGGACGGTCCCACTTCAAAATCAGCAAGAGTGAGTACTTGCCGTACTGCAAGCCGGTCCTCTGCCCCCTAGATGCCTCCTGCTGTGAGGGGACCCTGTCCTGACGTTTTCAACTTCATAGGAGGACACGGTTCTGAAATCCCTCTGGACTGGAGCCAGTTCCTCAAAACTGGAGGACAGAGGGCCATTGTTCTATCCTTGACCCCAGGGCCCCGTGTAGGACAGCTCCATGGCAACTCTTAGAAAACTGGGTCTGGGAGCTGTGTCCAGGGCCTGTGGTATTTCTGGGGCCTCTGGGCCAATCTCTGTCCCAGGGACAGAGCTGCTAGCAGGACTGACTCCCTCACGTGCCTTCTATAGGAAACGATGACTGGCTGGGCTGCTGGGGTCACCACATGAAGTCTCCCAGTTTCCGCTCCATTCGGGAGCATCAGAAGGTAGGGACCCTTTCTGAGGAGCTCTTCCTCTGGGCCCTGGACTAGGCAGGTGGAAGTTGGTACTGGGAGTCGGGGGAGAGGAGGGTGACCACAGAGAAGTCAGAAGGGTTTATAGAAGAGTGAGAAGGTACAGGAGGAGGCAGCAATGTGAGACCTGAGCAGCTCACGCACATCTAGCAGCTCAGCTGCAGTGTCTTGGGTAGTTGCAGCCTCTCAAAGACACTTGTTCCTTGAATGTGTCTTGAGATGCAGCGTCTCTTTTCAGTTTCTTGCTTCCCCTATAACCACTGCACATTGCCGCCATTCCTCAAGCTGAATAAGTGTAAAGAGGACTCTCGTCTCATGTTGGAACCAATGAGTCCCTTGCCCCCGACTTCCCGACAGCCAGGTGCTTTCCTTTCTTTGTGCTATAGGCTGTCATGGAAAAAGACTTAAAAGCTTTTTCTTTGCACTTAAGGTGAATATCCTGTCTGCCTTGATCACTGTTATGTATCATGAACTATCAACTCCTAGAGGCACTGAATTTTGTTGTGTTTTGTTTGTGTTTTAATCATCTTTGGTGAGTTCTCAGCAGCTGAATACTTAAGGACTGTTAGACAGTGATGATAAGAGGGAACAGGAGCTTAGAATGTTGCTAAGGAAGTTGGAATGGGATAGCGAGTCTTGCCATCTTCCTCGTGGTCTCACCTGGGCTCTTACCCTGCTCTCACCCTTTGTCCCTTCTGTAGCTAAACCATTTCCCAGGTTCATTCCAGATTGGGCGGAAGGACCGACTGTGGCGGAACCTGTCCCGCATGCAGAGCCGCTTCGGCAAGAAGGAGTTCAGTTTCTTCCCCCAGTCCTTCATCCTGCCCCAGGATGCCAAGCTCCTGCGCAAAGCCTGGGAGAGCAGCAGCCGCCAGAAGTGGATTGTTAAGCCAGTGAGTGGGTCACAGTGGGTAGTAGGCCATGGTCTGAGAATGGCAACAACGGAGTATTGGGCCAGGAGCAAATCGCATCTCCTTTCCTCTTGACTTCTAGCCAGCATCAGCTCGAGGCATTGGCATCCAGGTCATTCACAAGTGGAGTCAGCTCCCCAAGCGAAGGCCTCTTTTGGTGCAGAGGTGAGCCTGTCTCCAGCTGAGATCCTGCTCCACATTTTCCCCTCTCCTCAGCCTGGAGGTTCTCTTTTTACGATGTTCTGCCCTTTGTCCTCGCAGCCAAAGACTTTCCTCAGCCAACTATTTTGAGGTCTTTATCTCAAGGACTGTTAGCTGGCTCTATCTCATCTGTCATGTCCTTGAAGCTGGCCTCTTCCTATGTAGGTATCTACACAAACCCTACCTCATCAGCGGCAGCAAGTTTGATCTGCGAATCTATGTTTACGTCACCTCCTACGATCCTCTACGGATTTACCTCTTTTCGGATGGGCTTGTCCGCTTTGCCAGTTGCAAGTATGTGGTGGTGGTGAGGCCTCCCCCTGACAGCTTTGGGGATTTGTTTTTCTGAGAGGGAGGGAAACTGGAGGACACCAAACAGAAAAATAACATAACGTTTTGGTAGATTTTGTTAGCAAAGGAGAACGTGGGGTATGTTGGGGAAAACCTAGTCTTCCTTTCCTTTTACATAGAACACTTCACTTCTGACACTTCTGGTCACCAGGTGTGTGGGGTTTTCTCCCACACGAAGCAATTTTCCACAACACCAGCTGGATGTCCTACAATTTAACTCAATTCTGACGCTATCTACCCGAAGATAGCATCAGATTGCACAGGTTAAGGGTCCAGTGTCGCAAGGCTGCCCCTCCCCCCACCACTTCAGATGCCAGTCACAAGTCCAGGTTGCCACATGTGCTTCTGACCGAATGGCTATAAATCAAAGGTTCTGTGACCCCTCCTCAGGTTCAGTTAATTTGCTAGAGTAGCTCACAGAATTCAGGAAAACAGTTTACTTAAGTTTACTAGTTTGTTATAAAAGGATATGATAAAGGATACAGACAAACAGCCAGGTGGAAGAGATGTATAGGGCAAAGTATGTGGGAAGGGGCGTGGAGCTTCCGTGCCCTCTCTAGGCTCGCCACTCTCCCAGCACCTCCGCGTGTTCACCCACCTGGAAAAGCTCTCCAAAACCCGTACTTTGGGGATTTTTGTGGAGGCTTCATCACGTAGGCATGATTGAGCACTATTTTCATTCCTTCTCCTTTCTTAAGAGAGTGGGGAACAGGGCTAAAAATTCCAAGCTTCGGTGCTCTTAACACTTAGGAAATTCCAAGGGTTTTAGGAGCTCTGTGTCAGGAACTGGGGCAGAGGTCAATATATATATTTGTTCTTATAAATCACAATATCACATGGGGAATGGGAAATAAGGAAGTTCTCTACTTCACTGAATCTGGAGAGGGTCTTCCTGCAGGACTGAGGTGGGATAAAGGAGGTGAGTTTAGCTGTGGTATTCTAGAAACCTTACGAACAGACTTACTTCTCTGGCCCTTGTGTATCGGAAAAGATGTGTCCACTTTTTCTTTACCTCCTCGGGATTGGCGAAAATGTTTGGACCATTGTCCACTTGCAGTCCTAACCGTCTTAGCTCTGCCTTTCTCCTCACTTCCAGGTATTCCCCATCCATGAAGAGCCTTGGCAACAAGTTCATGCACCTGACCAACTACAGTGTCAATAAAAAGAATGCTGAGTACCAGGCCAATGCAGATGAAACGGCCTGCCAGGGCCACAAATGGTATCAGGCAGTGTCCCTGTCAGACTCCTCTAGGCCTGGAGGAGCACAGGGTGCTAGGGTTTTGGGAGGTTCAGAGGGCCGGTGAGTCAAGGATTAATATAAGACCCAAAGACTATGTAAACACTTGACAATTCAGAATTGGTCTGTCTGCATCCAAGCTCATCTCTTTCTTAATTTAAAACATCAAAAGAAGAGATGAAGAAAATACGTTTGGGCCTCTTACTCTCTTTCCTTTTTCTTTTCTTCATCACTCATTCGTAGAATATAACCCCAAATACTCCCTCCTCCCCCACTGCCTCGCAGGGCACTGAAGGCTTTATGGAACTACCTGAGCCAGAAGGGAGTCAACAGTGATGCCATCTGGGAGAAGATAAAGGATGTCGTTGTCAAAACCATCATCTCGTGAGTCATACTGCCACCCTGGGTTTGGGGCCTGCCACCGAATCCCCTCTTTTCTCATGGGCCCCCACACTGCAGTGTTCCAGGCTTAGACCATGCTATGTTTCAGTTTCTCTGAGGACAGGGACTAGGAAGGAGGGGATCGAGTTAAATTCTGCTCTTCTACTAAACTTCATCCCCAGAAGCTGGCCCCCAATCAGCCTCAGCCTCTCCTGAGAGCTGCTTTTCCTGGGTTGCTTCTGCTCTCCCATATCTGGACCACTCCATGGCAGGGCCCTCTGGGAGGAGCTGGGCTGAATACCTCCACCTCCCGTGACCAGGTCAGAACCCTATGTGACCAGCCTGCTGAAGATGTATGTGCGGCGGCCCTACAGCTGCCATGAGCTCTTTGGTTTCGACATCATGCTGGATGAGAACCTCAAGCCCTGGGTCCTGGAAGTCAACATTTCCCCAAGGTGGGTGGTATTCTCAGGGCACTCACAGTAGAGCCCTTCCTGGATCTTCATGAGCCCATTTCCACACTAGTCTTGTGGACTTTGAGAAGACTTTTCCTCCACTAGGGAAAAGTGTGTTTTCTCTTCATGGTCTGTCTGTCTGCTCATTCAGTCATTCTTTGCCATTATCTCAAGGTTCTTTGAGGATGGAAAGAGATTGTTAAAAGTTAGTCTTTTAAACTTGATCCCTACTGCATGCTTTTTCCCCTAGCCACCCAAGGTCATGGGCAGGAAGCACGCTGAGTGAAGTTATTCACTATCAGTGGGGCAAGAAGATCCCCATGATGGTGCTCATGAGTTTGGATGTTTGAGCCCTTTCATCCTAGGGAAGCCAGGGAGTAAATGGGGCTAGCACTGACTTGGACGTATAACTGGAAACAGTTTTGGAGTCTGCTTTTAACACTCTTTGCATCCTTTCCCCGAAGCCTCCACTCCAACTCTCCACTGGACATCAGCATCAAAGGCCAGATGATCCGTGACCTTCTGAACCTGGCAGGCTTTGTTCTGCCCAACGCAGAGGATGTCACTTCCAGCTCCAGCAGCTCCAGCAGCTCCAGCACCAGGTCAGCCTCCTTGCTTGTCTGTGGCTCGGCTGGCAGCATGGACAGCCCCATCGTGACTCTGGGAAGGAATGGTGTCTGGGTGCTCCCCCCTGCTTGTTCTCCCTTGCTGCTCGCTCTGCCCCTACAGTCTACCCATGCACCACTGCCACATCAGTGCCCCCAAAAGCATGTTTGGTCATATTGCTCCCCTGCTCAGGAATCCCCAGAGGGCCTGGGGAATCAGCTTTAAACTCCTCCTGGGGACATTCGAGGCCCCAGCCTCCTTTTCCCAGGCACACCCCCTTACTTCTCTTTGTGGCTCCTGTGCTCTGACAAACCGGATCACTCACAGAACCTCCAGGATGGAAGGATCCTTATGGCTCAATTAGTCCAGCCTCCTCTCTGAAACATTCGTTGCTCCTCACTGTTCCCCCATAGTGTCCCCTCCTCTGCTCATGGGGTCTCTTCCTCCTGAGTGCCCTTCAGCCAGACCTCCCTGTTGTGACCTCCGTCATCCATCAAGGCAACTAAAGCCTTGCTGGAGGCGACGTCTTCATGAAGCAGCTCAGTGTGGGCTCTCTTTCCTCCATACCTCCAAACCATTCGGAACTGCCTTTGAGGGAAGGGAGCTGATATTTAGTCGGTACTTGCTATGTGTAAGGAGAAACCTCTAACTTTGGGCCGGCCCTGTGGCTTAGCGGTTAAGTGCACGCGCTCCGCTACTGGCGGCCCGGGTTCGGATCCCGGGCGCACACCGACGCACTGCTTCTCCGGCCATGCTGAGGCCACATCCCACATACAGCAACTAGAAGGATGTGCAACTGTGACATACAACTATCTACTGGGGCTTTGGGTGAAAAAAATAAATTAATTAATTTAAAAAAATTAAAAAAAAAAAGAAACCTCTAACTTATCCCCACAGCAGCTCCCTGAGGTTGGTGTTAGTATCCTCAGTTTACAGATGAGGAAAGTGAAAATCATTGGGATTAAGTAACCCATCCAAGGTCATTTCAGCTACAAAGAGCTGGAATTCAGATCCTGATTTTCTGGTCACAAACTTACTTTCTCCACCATACCTTGTGAACTCCTGTTTGGCTCTGTGCTCTGGTTGTCGTTTGACACCCGCCAACCGTGAGCTCCTTGGAGGCCATCTTTGTGTCTCTCTCAGTAGTAACCATAGTAATGAGGATGATGAAACTGAGGTGCAGGGAGGTCAAGTAGTTTGCCCAGGATCACACAGCCAGTAATGCTGAGCTGGGTATTTAGTAAGTGTTCACTAAATTAAACTAAACTGAGGTATACAGCGATTATTCCAGGGTCCTCTTTTTTACCATTCAAATGCAACCTAAAGAGGGTGCTTTGTACTCTTTTCGTTCTTCCATGGTACTTGATCTTTGACTCCCAGACAGGCTACTTGAGTGGAGTGCATTCTAGTCTGATCTAGTCACATAACGAGCATCTATCCGTAGGTCTTTGTCTTCTCTTGAGGAGGGTGTCTTCTTGGGCTTGGTCTCTCTCTGCGTGTCCTCAGGATGTGAGGTTGCTGACCTTCGCCTTCGCTGCTGTTCCTCCCTCTTCTTCCTTAGCCTGCCCAGCTCCCCCAGGGACAAATCTCAAATGGCCCCGGAATACTTCACTGCACAGAAGATGAAGAAAGACTATTACTTGACCCAGAAAATTCCTGATCAGGTAGGAAATTGCCTTCTCCCCAGTGCCAGAAGAAAGCTTTCCTGACCAAACATCTGGGCCCCTGAGGCAACCAGTTTTTCTTCTCTCTAGGGCAGGGTTTCCTAACCCAGGCCCATGAGCCCCCTGGTGTGCAGAGACTTGTTGGCATGTATGGGAGACAGTTGATGGCCTTCATCGCGTGTTCAAGAACCACTGCTCTTAGCAAAATGCTGTACTAACCCACTCTTGTTGTCAGAGCTGTAGCCCCTTTGGGTTTCTTTCCCTGAGGTGCAGTGACCCCTGGAAGGCTTGACTTTCTCGGAGCAGATGAGGGAGCCAAATAGAAGAGTGGCAGACACAAGGCTGTTGCCATATTTGAGTTGCTGGATTCTGATCTTGACTCCATCCAACAAACCACTTAACCTCTGTGCCCTGGTGGCTCACTCACCCTGAGCAAGAGTGTCTTCATCCCCCAGCTAAGCTCAGTAGACTTGGGAACAGACAAGGTCCAGAGCCGGCCCCCCAGGCTGCCTTGGTGGTCCTGGAGCCCTAGGACCCCAGAGCTGTGCTCCCTGTCCCCCAGCTTCTTGCTTGTCTGCCTCTGGCTTACGCTCCCCATCACACCCTCTTCCCTCTGTTCCTTGGGCCACAGGACTTCTATGCATCTGTGCTGGATGTCCTGACGCCAGATGACGTTCAGGTTCTGGTCGAGATGGAGGATGAGTTTTCTCGCCGCGGTCAATTTGAACGAATTTTTCCTTCTCGAATCTCCTCTCGCTATCTCCGATTTTTTGAGCAGCCACGATATTTCAACATTCTCACCACCCAGTGGGAACAGAAGTACCATGCCAACAAGCTCAAAGGTGATGTGTCCCCACTGCCCACAGGAGGCCATGTTAGGTTAAATCCCAGTGCACCAAGAAGTGGGCCTCTGGCAAGAACAGTTGGCCAGTTGATTTCACCCTCTTAAGTCCCATCCCTGTTGATCTTGTCCTAGGAGTCGATCTGCTTCGGAGTTGGTGCTACAAAGGGTTCCACACAGGAGCCATCTCTGATTCTGCTCCAATGGTGAGTGATGCCACTGGTGGGGAGAGGGGCAGCTCCATCTCAGGCCCCTCCCTCCTCCGCCTTAAGAGTGCAGCATGGGTTGGGTGCACATCCAGACCCTCTCACTTTTTCCTGAGGTCCTGCCTCCGTGTTTCATGACCCTTCCCTTTCAAGGGAATGATTGCCTCCAGGATTCCCTGGGTGTCTTTCTTTCAAGGATCAAAAAGTGTTTTGTAGCCTCAACTTGTTGTCTGAATTGAGAGAGACCCAAGACTTTTTCCCATGTGAGCCCATGCCTGCAGGGTAGGGAAGGGGAGAGCCCCGTGGTCACTCAGGTAGATCAGGGAGAATCTCAAGGCCCCGACACTCCCGCCTGACCTCTGCCCAGCCCTTTTGGCCTCATTGCTTCCTTTGTTTTTAGTGGTCTCTCCCAACGACTCTTCTGACTGTCCCCAAGGGTGACGTGACGCTCAGTGCTTTCTCCAAATTGGAGAGTGGCAAGCCTGGGTGAGTGCTGCCTGGGCAAGGGAAGGATGGTGGGTGTGAGTTCAGGGAGTTTTCTTCCTTTCTCTTTGTGGATTATGACGAGATCAGCAGCTGTCTCCAGCCAGGGTTTGGTGGGAAGAATATGCAGCCACAGTCCTCTTCCTGGTGGCTTTTGGTATGCCCAGTGAAGGCGAGCTGCAGTGCAGAATCATTTGCAGAAGCAGCCACTTTTAGCTGTACCCACCAGCTGTGGGAAATCTTTAGCCCTCCCACTCTCACACACCTTCACACTTGCACTGAAGCTCTAGAGCCTTCAAATAAATAAAATGTATTTTATGGTCATTTGTATCTCCATATAGTTATGGTCTGTAGCCCCATAATGTCGTGAATGCCTGGTTCAGACTCTGAAGGCAGATTGCAGGTTAAGGTCTTAGCTACACAGTGTCTCAGCCATTTCTTTCCCCACCTGTTCCCTTCAGAAAACACAGCTCCTCCGAGGGAAGCGTACCACTCTCTGAAGACAAGACCACACCCAAGCCCAAGAAGACCCAAGCTGGCCTTGTGCTTTTCCCCAGGAAACCCAGTTCCTTGAAGGAGAGTGAGGACACGCGCAGAGAGCCCAGCCTCTCCACCCAGACGTTGCCTGTGATCAAGTACTCGGGGGGGACTCCGAGACTCTCTGCTTGCTCCTCCTCCCAGTCCCCTGGGGACTCCCTCCCGGCTGCTGTGAGCCCGTGACTGGCCCCCTCACTAGCCCCTGCCCAGGAGCACCAGCCTTAGCTACCTCATGGGACCCGGCTGGCTGGCCAGCCTGAGCTCCCGCCCCCTCCACCTTGCCCCTCCTCAGAGTATTTTTTGAAGTAGTTGAATTGCAGAGATGGGTATCTGGAGGGCTGGAAGAGTGGTGGGGACGGGGAGAAGGTGAGGAAGGTTCACTGGCTGGCCCCTCATATCTGAGCAGAGAAGCCAGTGATGGCCACTCAGCCTTATAAAGCAGGGTTTGGTTTCTACCTTCAGAGAGCCGTGTGTGGTTTGTTTTAGGCCTTGGTGCCGTGACTGAGTTCTAGCTCAAGAGGAGAAAACATTCTGAACGTATTTGGGCCTGAAATCCACTGCAATTGAGGAGGTTCCTCTGAAGCTCCTCGTTTGCTTAGGTCTCACCCTCCTACCACCTGTCTTGAGGAGCTACTTTCAGAAACTTCCTCAGTGGATGGCAGGGAGAGGCCATGCCATGGTGAACCCATTTCCTATCATCCTAGTCTTGGGAGCTTCACCACCTCCAAACCGTTTCTCCTTTCATATACCCACCCAGCCAGTGGCCCCAGGTCTTGCTGTTCTGGCTTCACATCACTGCTTGCTCAGCCTTCTAGACTTCTCTCTCGTGGATGTTACCTCTTAGCTCTCTGACTGAGAGGTTCTGTGAACATTGTGCATTTCCCATGGCCCCAGGGAAGGAGCCCAGGTAATCTCAGTTGCTGTTGTCTGTGTCCCTTCATCAAAGGACACAATCCAGGGGGAGGGTGGGAGGAGCTGAGATTTCCCCACAGCGCAGAGGATGTCTCATGTTCCGCTTATTCCCTTCACTGTGTAGGTCGCTAGGGCAGGCAGAGTGGTGACGTGGCGGGTGGGTTTCAGGAGCAGTCACCATCGTAGGATGGGCTTCCAGTCAGGCTGCCGACTAAACTCTTGTACCCTTAACCGAATCTACCTCCCTCTCTAAAACTCAGTAAACAGTGAGTGCTCAATAAATGTTGACTGATGAACTGTACATACGAAGATCTCAAAGGACACGAGCCCCTAAACCAGAGGCTGTACTCTCCTTCCTGGGGCAAAGTGGAGCCTGGAGGAAGCACAAGGTGGGAGGGTTGGGTCTGAAAGGCTGTTTTCACTTGAGCTATGCTCCTCCCTAACCCAGCACTTCCCGGTTGTTGCTCGCCCCCTCCTCAACTCTGTAGTTCCTTTAGTTCGTTTTTCTAGAAGTGGGGCCATGCAAGAAGCCAACTGGCCCCTGGCTCTGATACCCAGGTTTCCCCCTTTGCACATCAGGCAGGAATCTCTGCTCACAGTCTCACTCTGGGCTCTCTCTGCTTTCATTCTCTCTGAGCTTTGGAAAAATGTAGACTTCGTGACTTCTGGGGTTCTGTGGCAAGTTGGGGTGGGGCCATGGAACAATCACTGAGAGACCTGCTGGGGTTCAAGGCCACGCTGTAGATGGCTGTGCCGGCCGGTCCAAAGGCCGTGTTGACAGTTGTGAGGAAAGCTTGGTGGCAAAGTCCTGGGGCAGCGCCTACTGCGCAATAGTAAGGACTTCAAAGTCGGGCCTAGCAGGAGAGGTCCTTGACAGGCCTGATCAATCTCTTGGGATAGAACTGAAGCAAACTCCCTCTTCTACCTGGATGCAGTGTTCTAACGCAGACGTCGCAACGAACCTTGTGACAGGGCAGTAAGCAGCCTTCCTAAGAAAACCAGCCACCTGCTGAAGCACTTTTGTTGTGGCTGGTCCTCTGTGCAAGGGCTTCGTGTGGAGGCCTGGCTGAGCTGGTTTACTCCTTGGAAACCAGCTTCAGTTCTTCGACCTGCCTCCTGAGAATCCCCACACAGCACAACCAGTCCATTTCCATCCCCGTAACTGGAAAGGGGACTAGCATTGCAGCATGATGGGAATGGAGGGGGCAGGAGGCAGGGAAGGACTTAAGAAATTAAAGCAGTGATGAAAATAGAACGTTCTTAGAGGTTTAAAACATGTTTATACATATATTTAATTTTCATCACATTTGAGTATCTGAGAGGCATGGGTGTTTGGCTGGGTGGGAGAAAGGAATGAGGCTTAGGTATCATATTTCCTTTTCACCCTTGAGAGAAAATTAAATCTTCCTCATTAAGCATTCAGCATACATACTTAGGAATGAATGCCCACAGTATAAGGTATTCCGCTAAATAAGGAACTTGGGGGAAATAATGACATTTTTTTGAAAGTTTAAATTTGGGGGTACAATAAAGTAAATGTTTGTCAGATGTGTCAGTTTTCCTAAGTTAACAACCCACTGAATCCCTGGAGAAAGGGGAGTGAGTGCTCCTGAGTCAGGGCTGAAGTACAGGGCGTCTCTGGAGCAGTGGGGTAAGGATTTGGGGTGGGGGCCAGGAGGGTGGTTGCCAGTCCTGTTTACTTCAGATCCACTCAGGATTGATCAGAAACTAAGCAACTTAGAAGCACAACTAATGAAGAGGGAGCACTGTGGTAGGAAACGAGCATGGGCCTCAGGCTGATGTTGGGTTCAGATTTCAGTTCTGCTCTGTCTCCTTGGGCATGTCATCTAACTTTTTAAAGTCTGTGTTTTCATAATATGAGTATAATACCTACAGCGCAGGGTTGTGAAAATTAAGCAAAACACAGTAAAAGCACTTGGGACCAGAGGGACTTCATGCACAGTTCCTGCTTTCCCCGTTTGCTCTGCAAGCCCTGTTGCTCGGGTGGGGAAAGGCAGCTCAGAAATGTACCACCCTTTCCACAGGGGGTGAAGCAGCTGTAGAGACATTTTAGAGGGGAAGGCGGCTGGGGCAGGGTTAGATACCTCATCACTCCCACCCACATCCCGGTGCACACAGAAACACTAGCATCATTCATTCTGCTGTTTCACTCTTTTTTTTTTGTTTTTTGTTTTGTGAGGAAGACCAGCCCTGAGCTAACATCCAATGCCAATCTTCTTTTTTGCTGAGGAAGACTGGCCCTGGGCTAACATCCATGCCCATCCTCCTCTACTTTTTATATGGGACACTGCCATAGCATGGCTTGACAAGCGGTGCGTTTGGTGCACGCCTGGGATCGGAACCGGCGAACCCCGGGCCGCCGCAGCGGAGCTCGCACACTTAACCGCTTGCGCCACTGGGCTGGCCCCATGCTATTTTACTCTTTGGGGATTTATTTCTTTGGTTAAATATTTCACAGTCAAAATGCAGATTCCGTGGGCCAGGAAGCACATGAAGCATTAGAAGTATGTGAATGGAGTCCTATCCCAAGAGAAGGATTGATAAGACAGGGAGAGCAAGGGAGCAATGGGTGCTCGGTGCTGGAAAGGAGAAGAGCAGGGTGCAGAAGATACAGACCTTGAACTGGAGCTGGAGCCAAGGAACAGATGCACCGACCCAACAGCTGTGCTGGGGGACAGTGTCCTTACAGGTACATGTTTATGGTTAAGACTGATTGTCCCTCCCTGTCACCCTCACCAAAGGACACACCTAATTACTCTCGGACCCTCCAACACTGGGTCAGTGAAGGAGACCGGTAATCCAGACGCACAGTCCCTTCCGCTTCCCTCGTCAGGTGAATTAGTTACCCAACAAGGTGATCACCAAAGGCAGCCGGGAGACCTCCCCTCCTGGCTTCCTCCAGATTTGTTCTGTAAGACTGAGGCTCAGCTCTGTCCCCTGTTCACATTCCCCCGCTGCTTTGAGACTTAGAAATACTGACAGTTTTCAGAGATGTGTGGCTGAGGGGGCTCCATTTCATGCCACTGCGACTCTGATCCAGCCTCTCAACCCTTCTTGGCCTTTTAGAGCCCCCGTGTAGCAGAGTTCACGCCCTCGTTGCTGTCCACGGGTCTGTGCAGGCTCATTTGACTTCACCTTTCATCAGCTTTGGAGCAGTGAAGACTGCAAGCAGCCTTGTGTTACTGTTGGCAGATTTCTCATGGGTAAAAGAATACAGGAAGGATCAGTAGCAGGGTAGTTGTTTTCTAGAACCCATTGTGCCTTAATTATAGTGGACTGAGACGTGTGGAATGCTACAGACTGTCACAGGAAAAGCTAACAAACACCACTTTGAAAAGATATTTAACTTTCAGTCAGTAAAGTGGGGAGACCAAAGCCTATTTCACTGGGTAGTTCTGAGGGTTAAATGGGGGGAAAGAGGTATGTAAAGCGCCTAGCAAAGTGCCTGATACATATATAGCGCAGATTTGAAGTAGATTCTGAAACAGACAAAATAAAAAACAGTAACCCCACCAAAAATGTTTCTTCCGTAAATAGTAACATGCTATGTTGCTATTACAAGAGTACTACAATACTATTACAATAGCATGCTGCTTAGTTTTCTAAGGTAAAATATACTTTGATTCTATCCATGAGATATCAGACCTGAGGATTTAATCAAGATAATTAGCTTAGAAAGATTGGAGCCCTTAACATTAGTTGTCAGAGAAGTGAAATTAAAACTATAATGATGCACATTGAGACATTCGGTGTATATGTTTGAGGAGCCAATGGGGTGAAGCTACCATCTGTGGCGTTATGACTGAACTTCCAAGTCAGAGTCCTGCCAAGGCTCAACAAGAGGGCAGCGGGGCTGAGCCCCAGTTTCCCAGTCCCCCCCAGCCCTGCTGTCCCTGCTGGCAGGTAGCCAAGCACTCCCCATGTGGCACAGGGGCATGCTGGTCTGGGTCCTGAGCAGAGAGCCTCTCCAGAGAAACGCCGCAGGGCCGCCCCTCACGTCATGCAGTACTCTCATGCAGCGCTGGTTCCTAGGGAACCGGTGCTAAACCATTCCTAGAAGACCTGCTTCTGGGTCCAGATTGCTATGCAGCAGAGCAGCTCCCTCCCTTCACTCTTGAAAGTCAGCCTTCCATACAAGGATTTGAAAAGAAAAAGACTAAAAAACAAAAAAAAAGAAAAACGATGAGACACCACTTACACAGTAGAATGGCTCAGATGAAAAAGGCTGGAAATACCAAGTGTCTGAGAATGTGGAGCAGCTGGAACATACATTGCTGATGGGAATGCAAAATGGTACATTGGAAAACAGCTCCGTAGTTTCTTATAAAGTGAAACATAGTGTAAACATTTGACCCAGCAATTCACTCCTGCGTGCAGATGTTTGCAGCAGATTTATTCATAATACCAAAAACTTGGAAATGACCCAAATATCCAACAACTGGTACATGAATAAACAAATTGTGATATATCTGTTCAATACTACTTAGGTATAAAAAAGCAAGAAACTGATACGTGCAACAACATGGAT